CGGCGTTTTCGCGAAAATCGGTTTTGACTTGGATCCATGAGCGGCGCTGAGCGGTGCCGCTTACCGCCGCTCGCCGCTCAGACGTATCGTGGCCACCCTCAACAAATTTACACGCAACTAAATGAGACCCGATGTCAGAGCGGCGCCGCTCATGCCGCTCGCCGCTCGCCGCTCGCCGCTCGTATCGTACCCGGGGCCTTAGTTTTGGCGGAATTCTTTTGAAGGCTAACGTTTTCCAGGTAGTTGCATATTTTGGCGGACAAGTTTTAAAAGCCGTCAGTTTTGGCGGGAAACTCTTTTGAGGCTGTAGTTTTGGAGGGAATGGATCGGAAGGCGTAATTTCTGGGGGGGACGATAATACTGTAACTATAATAACGGTTAACTATAATAACCCACTTGCGAGTCCCCGGACGAAATCAAATATCAAACTAGATGTACACAGTTACCAGTGATGGAGTAGATATAATTATGTTACCGCCATCGGTGGGAAGCTACTAGACATACAAAATTATAATTAGCTCCGACTTTCCCGTGTTTGCCAACATTTCTTTACCAGCTGTTTCGGTAAACACTCGTACTTATAAATTACATAAGTGTTACAAGGGAAGCTTTCCCCACAATAACGTAAACAACACATCAGTCGGTTTCTACTCCCCCTCGACGTCGCTTCCATCACTAGTAGATCTGACACCAGCTAAACATCACTAGCTTCACTACGTTGAACACGAGACCAAGTAAGTACCGTTAATTAACTTATTCACTGTATAACTATGCAAATGTTTTCCTTTTAAAGCTGTCCGCATTCATAAATATTTATTACCTGAGAAACCAGCATTGCGAAATTGTAGAAGTTGAAAATAAACAATATAGCTTTATTTAAACCCAGCATAATCGAAAACTATTTAACCTGACAAGAGGTAAACTTAAACATTGATGCGCTCATTGGTAAACAAACATGCAGTAATCAACAGACAAGTAAGTTTAAATTGACTTTTTAATTTCGTCGACTTTGTTTTTTTAAAGCCTTGAATTATTTAAGTCCCTGAATTTATATTAACATTCCAATACGCCTAAAATGTTACGGGAATTCTCTTTTTTCTTTCAAATTGTTTATAGCTCAGACCTGGAAGTCGTTGCATCCCGTTATAAGTAGGTGAAAATTAACAATACATAGCACATTTTACATCCTAATTGAAGCCTAACTCTGATGAGATGAGCTAACAGCGATAAGCGCATTGATAAACACACAGCAGTAAGTAAACTGGTACTAAAAAAATAAGCAACTTTGGATAATAAGCAACTACTAGTAACACAACTTGCACTCAACTTGTTTTGAAAGTTAAAAGAGTAAATTTTTGCCTAAAAATAATCTTACTACGATTGTATTGCCTTAAAAACCAAGCTTTATCACAATGGCTTATATATAATTTAAATAACGGGGGAATCTTGTGGGGAGTCTTCTGTAAAATACCCTGATACTGTATTTATGTAGTAGCCAATATAGCACGAAAACTTTGTCCAATGAAATTTGAACAGTATTGCCAAAAGAATTGGAAACGTACGATATATCAAATAGGCGTGTAATAGATTAAATAATAATAGATCCTGCTAATGGATAAACGATAAACTTTGGCCTACCGGTACTCGTATTCTTTATTCATGTTATTAAAAGTAGTTAATTGAATGAATGTTAATGTGTTGAACAACGACCTCTCAGTAAGCCATATCCAGTATAAAGATAACCGGATTGAGGGACGCTACTAGCTACTACTACTGTAAGTATAGGCCTACTTCCTACTTTATGTACGTGATGTTCTAGTTTACCGGAATAGAGAGGAACATTGTTCGCGATGCGTCAAGGTCATTCGCCGACCTTGCCTTAAGCTACATATAATGTCGATGATTTTACTTTCTTCTACTTCACTTCCCGACTGTTGTAACGGTTGCGGCATCATGTCACAATGATACAAGGATTCAGACCGGTAAACCTTTTGTCACTGCAACAATGACTTAATGACTTGATAGAAACTATAATTAAATGCTATTGATAAGGGTGAGAGCACTGTTGGGTTGTTTATGGATATTAGTAAAGCATATGATAGTGTCTGTCATATTCAAAACTAATTTCAATTTAAAAAAATATTTGGCTTTGCTAAGAATGATTTGAATTGGTTTCAATCTTACCTTGAAAACAGATTACAATGTGGAAATAACTCATATAAATAATTTCAACCACTTAAGAAATGTAAAATAGTCTTTGATGTGTATAACATATGGTGTACCTCAAGGTTTGATCCTTGGACCCATTTTATTTCTTTGCTATATTCTTTTAGCTGCTGGTCTGCCAACAGCATTAACTGATAATATGGCAAAATTGTGTCTATGATGATGATGCAAATTTGTTAGTTTCTGGTAAATGTTTTAATAAAATACAAGAGTCGGCCCAAAACAATCTGTTATCAATAAAAAACTACTTAAACTTCAATAAATTATTTCTCAATTTCAATAAAACCAGTTTTATATCATTAAGTACAACAGAAAGGAAAAATCCAGAATTCTTTAAGTCAGTAAATGATATCCAAATTACTCAGGTAAAGATAACAACATTTTTGGGTTTATTGCTTGATGAAAATTTATTATGGTCACTCCATACGTAAAATTTCCTCAGGTTTATTTGCCTTGAGAAATCTGTCAAAATTTTGCTCGCTTGAGATGTTGCTGGTACCACGCACATATCAACTCACATATTACATTTGGTACTGAGTTCGTTTTATAATTTTATTCTTTGTCGAAGGAGTCGAAACTCCCCGACGACTACCCGGTACCTAGTTGCCCTTAACCCGGGACCCATGGCGTAGGCCGGAGCTTACGCACCAACCCTTAGCACACCATGGGTGGATGGCTTAAGGCCATCAAGTTCACCGGCTGCCAAACGGCAAATAACCCATCGGAAAGAGGGTTGCTCCTCAATCCTAACCAGGGATACCGGCTACTTTATTCGCATGTCCACCCCAATTGGGTTCCACCAAGGCCGAAGCCCTTGGACCATAGAGGAATGCCCTGGACGCATCACAGTGCAAGCAACACTCGGGACCTATCTAATCCCTGACAGGCCGAAGCCCGCCATCAAAGCCAGGAGGAAGGGGACCGCCAGCAAACTGACGCGGGAATCCCCAACCAACCACCCATTTCCACCACTACCCGATCGAGGCCATCCCATTGCTGGGAAACCAGGGATACCCAGGGCAATAGATCCCCAGATACCCCTAGCGGGCTTGATCCCAGCACCCAATCTACTTCGTTTGCCCATCAAGCCCAACATCACTGCCAGGCCCTCAGAGTTTCCCAAAAGGAGGCAGGTTTAGGAGTGGGACCCACCCGGATGAACCTATCCACCAAAGGTGGCGACACCCTTAACTCGATTGAGGTTCCAGGGAGAACCCCCCTCACTCTAGATAACCATACCTTCCGGGCTCAGAGACAGGGATTGGCTGATGGAGTGCGCCCAGCCGTTGCCCTCACACTGCGGAAAGTTCTGTTCCCCTAGAGTGTCCCCGTGAGCTTACGGGTACTCGCCCAATTTCACCTCCAGGAAGGCTACTTCCAAAGTCGAGGATTTGCCACACATAATGTCGGTCGCATACAACAAGCCGGCCGAAGCCCAAAGAATCACAGCACAGGCAGATGAGAGATTGATGGCATACTTCCACCTCTCTGAGAGCTGAACATCCCACCAACCTGGATGGAGGAATGTCACTGGGTACTCTCCCCTAAGGGGCTGGCTTGTCCAGTCGTCCATAACGTACTTGAAGTACCGATTCCGACACCTAGCAGTTACCTATCCCCTTCGGGGGCTACGGTTTGCCCGTCTTTCACCTCCCAGGACGAGGCTGCTTCCAGAGCCGAGGATATGCCTCACATAGTGTAAGTCGTACACCACAGGCAGGGCAAGCCCATAGAACCACAGCCACAGGTAGGTGAGAGGTGCTGCCGGAGGAGCCACTCTGAGAGCTAAACACCCCACCATCCTGAATGGAGGGATGTCACTGGGTACTCTCCCCATAGGGGCTGGCTTTCCAGTCGTCCATAAATGTGGCCTTACCTGAAGTGCCGGTTCCAACACCGGGCAATTACCTCCCCTCTGGGGGGGCAAGAGCTAGGGTCCGCGTGGTCGCTAGGCCACGTACCCACGCAAGCGTGGGCCCCCTGCGGGGATGAAATAGAAATTTCATCCCCTCAGCTATAAACTCATAGCTGAGCCGGATACCTAATAATGATATACATACTACAACATGTGTACGTTGTAACTCAAACAAGTATTTGTATAGTTTTTAATTTTATCTGTTGCTGGCTCCATTTTGTAGTTTCCTGTGTGCATTGGTTGTGAAATTATTGTATTTTAATATGTTTTGGGGGGTGATATGGAGCTACAAGTAATCAAAATTTACAAAGTATTCTAATACTTCAAAACAGGGCAATAAGAATCATGTTAAATCTGGATGATGAAGAATCGGCCAAAAACTATTTTCCTAAATTAAAAATTCTAACCGTTTACAGCTCATATAATATATTGTACACTATTATGCATGTGAGGGCTTCTGAAGACAAGGTGCACCTGCTGGGGGAACGATAATCATAGATATAATACTAGGCATAAAAATTATCCACCCGTAACACAACACAAACTTGAGTTTTATAACAAGAAACCAACAGCTGCAGGTATTAAGTTTTTGTATCATCTACCAAAAGAAATATTTGGGGGGGGAGTGGGCGCAAATATCTCTCGGGTCCATAGTGTGTCACTTGCAAACATATATGCCTAAGAGCAAATATGTTCTCTGACTATGAGTACCTAAATGATGAATACTATCAATCGGGTGGGTTTTAAAGGTCAAGAATTAATCATACACAGCAATTTGATGGAAGATATAATTCATCTGATTTGAATAGCTTGTAATCAGAGATGTCCTCGTGATTGTATCTTCATCCATACGTATAGGATGTACCTGGTTCGGCTGGCGCAGCACACTCTGGTTGAGGGTCCAGTGACCAGCTTGTGTATTCTGGCGCTGTTGGTGCTCCTGGCAGTTTACTACCTGCGCCGGGCAAGGATGGTGCAGCTGATAGAGAAGATTCCAGGGCCTGCTGGTCTACCCATCGTAGGAAACTCTCTACAGATCAATGTTGATCATGACGGTTGGTTCTGCTTCATTCAAAACATATTCATTTTTAAAGAATGAACATATTGTTTCAAGTTTAAAATCCAATCTAATTTTTGTGTAGATTGATTTCCAGCAACGTCTACAAAGAGATTTAAGGCAAAACCTTTTAAAGGATTGTGACAATCAAGCTAATCCACCAAGTAATAATTTGTTTATTATGACTAATTGTGTCAGTTCTGGACCTTTTTGTCACATGACTGATCCAAAACCTGACCACTAGCACAGAGCTAAAGATACAACTGCAGGTGCACTGTATGAGAGGATTGCGATACGCTGGCCGCCATTTGTACTAGGGAATGACTAGTGGGATTGTATATATATAAAGCCATGAGCCAATGAGCTAATTCCCCTAATTGGTAATGGTACCAACATAACAAAATTACTGTGTCTCGATTTTCTAGCAGAGTTGCCCAATGCTGTCTCAATGCTACCTTCAGTTGTATTTCTAGCTCAGTGTTCAAAAAAGTTTTCAGCAGTTACACCTACAATGTTACGAATCTAGTTTAACAAAGCCAATTTTTTAGGGGTTACTGTATTCCTCATTACATTAACTATGCACATTTTCATGTTTAAACATTTTCTCTATAATTTTCAGAGATATTTGAAAGATTATCTGGTGCAAGAAAGCTTTGGGGTAAAAGTCTGGGCTGCTGCAAAGGATGGTATTGGAACAAGCCTTACATATTTATCAGCAAAGCTACAGCTCTTGAGGTAGGTTTGAAACTTAAAATCATTAAAAATTAATTAGTTGTGGAGAAAAGTAGAGATTGCTTTCATAAAATAATACATATCAGTATGGTACTGTAAGCTAAGCCATTAATAAAACATTCACAATTCACAAACTATGATTGGAATAGTAACTTGATCAAAAACGTACGATTGTTTTCCTGAGATTACTGCAAGAAAATAATATTATAGTTATACTATGAGAGTAAAAAGTTACTGCACAAAAATTGATGTTAAAATGAGTTACAATATTCAACATTTCATACAAATTATTGTAACAAACCGTTGGCCATTGTTGTACCCAGTATAACCTAACAGAGTATTCAATGCAACAAGACTTCTCGCCTTATAGTAAACTTATAATAGCATTTGTTTATATGTTTGATGTTGGTAAAGCCAAGAATGTGTAGATTTTTTTAAATGTATTTTCTCTTTGATGGTTATGGTGATTTTAATTTTATACTTTATCGTAACAGTTTCGATTTTAAAATGGTGTAACATTTTTTAGGAGATCATGGGCAGTATCAAGCATATAGAGAAGAGCAATGACTATGACTACCTACACCCTTGGCTTGGAACAGGGCTTCTTACCAGCTCTGGTAATGTGTTTGTATAGTTAACTGACATAGACTCACAAAATTTACCTATAAATAAACAGGTAAATTTTGCGAGTCTATGTCAGTTTAAGATATAAATAAATACAAATAAGATCACCCTAATAGAGTGGGGAAAATTAATGTAGAATACATTATTCATAATACGTTCCTAAGTAATTTTAAGAGTTGTGTGATCAGATAAATCCAAAATCAAATGGTTAGCGAGAGTAGCATTATTCAAGAATGTTTTTTAGTTTGCAAAAATGTTTATTTTGTCTATAGTTAGTTTCCTTACTGTGTTTAACACGTTCGCTACTGCAATAGTATTAAATTTTTCGTTCATTTGGACACACATGCGACAGCCGGTTTCTACCCATAGGCTGCCGCATTTATGCAAAAGCTGGTCACATTAAAATAGACTGACATTGCATATTTGCATTGGTGCCCAATGTTATTAAAAAGCTTATATCCTTGTAGCAGTCTATTTGAAGGCCCTGAACTCTGCAGCGGTCTAAAGGGATGTATGTTGCATGTGTGCGTCACTTGGTCTGTGGATATGATGTTAGTATCGTCATATGATAGTTGGCAAAACTGATTTTTACTTTGCTGCATCACTGGCCCGCGAGCTGCGTGTACTGTTAACCAAGTGACACCCAGGCTATGTGTAATATTAAATTAATGTATACCTCAGGCCGTGACAATGACTTAAGCGTCGCAAATATGTGGCGATCGGTAGCGAAGGTGTTAAACTAAGATGAGAATGGAAAATAAATCTATGTGATTTTCCAAAGATGCTAAAAGTTATGCCACCTCCCCATTTATAAAGTATAAATCCTACCTCTTGCTTTGTGCAATTTTGTTTTGTTCAATTTGCAATCTACTTTTCTGTAAAATAAAGTAAATAATTTAATCAACACATTTTCAACAGAGCAAATGTAAAAGTAAATAATATGTATACACTGTGGCAGTTCTGATACTAATCGAAAGCCATCGCAAAGATTTGAACGGTGGGAGGTTTGAAAAAAAGCTATATTGACAATATACCTTTACCTACCAATCTAATACAGTAGTACATAGGTTACCTACTGTAGATGTGTGTGAATTAATTTTAATCGGATCAGGAATTTTGCCCTTGATAAAAGGACAGACAAACAAGCTTCTCATTTTTATAATAGTAATAGCCAATCAATACTGCAATATAATTGAGGTTATTTTCAATTGTGTTAGTTTAACATTGATTCTGTCTTTTAGGGCCAAAGTGGCAAAAGAGGAGGAAAATTCTCACTCCAGCTTTCCACTTCCGCATTTTGGATGACTTTATAGACATTTTCCGAGAACAGAGCGACATCTTTGTACAGAAGCTTCAGAAGGAGTGTGGTCAGGGACCTTTCAACATTTTCCCTTACGTTACGCTTTGCGCCCTGGACGTCATTTGTGGTGAGAAATTAACTGAAATATGATAAATAAATAACTGATAAGTTCTAAAAGATTGTTCAATCACTGTGTGAAAAAAGTAATAGAGAATTTTCAACCATTAATTGATGTTTTTAACAGTTGTCCTATGAAAAACCAAACTTCCGTTATAAATGTTTCTTAATTTTTTTTAGAAACTGCGATGGGGCGAAAAGTTGAAGCTCAAAGCAACAGTGACTCAGATTATGTCAGGGCTGTTTATGAGTAAGTATTTATTTAATAAACATAAAACTCTTGTTTAGTTTAAACTAAATTAATGTTTTATCACAAAATTTTCTTGACACTTCAGAAGGAACAAACGCAAAACACACACAACACACACTTATTGGCTATACAAACTTTAGCAAGTTCTACAAAATTAGTGAATTGTACTTTGTTTTTCCAGGATTGGCTCCATTATTCAGGCGAGGCAGGCCAAGATATGGCTGCAGCCCGAGTGGTTGTTCCGCTGGTCGCCGTTGTACTCGACACATCAACGATGCATCAATATATTGCATTCCTTCTCTAACAAGGCATGTCATTATACTTTAAAGTTCATTTTTTTAGTTTTTCCTCTATCCTTTATCTAGTCTTAGAGGCAGATTTAGGTTCAAAGTTAGTGGTTCAGGGTAAATTGCAATATTGCTATGTTAACTTATGTTTAAAGACTGAAAGGAAGGTACAGATTGTTCAGTTTAGGTGAATAATGTTTAGCATCTTATCTTGGTTAGATTTAGTAGTTGAACCAACCATGAGTTTATGGGTAAATTTTGTAGCATCATAAAACTGTCTTAAATGTTGTTTACTATATGATTTAAAATTAACAAAATAAACCTTATACTTGAGCTCATTTTTTTATTACACTTTATGAGCGCTATATTAATTTCATTGATGTTTTTTATACATATTAAAAAATTCTGGTGCTCCTTCAAAATTGAGTGCCTAGTAAGAAACATGACCCTGAATGTTTGTTAAAAAAGATGACTGCATTCTCCTTAAATGTTAAGGAGCAAATAGCATACACTAATAGTAGTAGAGGGAGTATGTGGTTTTCACTCTTACAGGGTGTTTTTTTAAAAACTTGCATCTTTATTTATGTAAAAACCGCAATAGATAGAAATATGCAGTTTGCGGGAATCATCTATTGACGTAGGGGGACCAATTGTTTTGAATTCAACGTTACATTCACATTCCCCCCCTTTCCCCCCCTGCCCCCAACTTATTTTTTTTAAATAGCAAGGTACCCCTTGTGACATATCAAATAAAAGAGCATAAAAAAAGAAAATGTTTGATGAAAAAAAATTGAAAATCGGTTCATAAATTTGTGAGATATTCCCCCCCTCACCCCCCCGGATCTTATTTTTTTTTTTAATAGCAAAGTATCCCTTGTGACATATCAAATGAAAGAGCATGAAAAAAGAAAATTTTTGGTGAAAAAAAATTTAAAATCGGCTCATGAATTTGTGAGATAATCACCCCCATTTTCCCCTACCCATAACTTGTTTTTTTAATAGCAAGGTACCCGCCCTTGTGACATATCAAATGAAAAATAAATTTTACCAAAATTTTTCTTTTTTTATGCTCTTTCATTTGATATGTCACAAGGGGTACTTTGCTATTAAAAAAAATTAAGTTCCGGGGGGGGGGGTAAGGGGGGGAATATCTCACAAATTTATGAACCGATTTTCAATTTTTTTTCATCAAACATTTTCTTTTTTCATGCTCTTTTATTTGATATGTCACAAGGGGTACCTTGCTATTTAAAAAAATTAAGTTGGGGGCAGGGGGGAAAGGGGGGAAATGTGAATGTAACGTTGAATTCAAAACAATTGGTCCCCCTACGTCAATAGATGATTCCCGCAAACTGCATATTTCTATCTATTGCGGTTTTTACATAAATAAAAATGCAAGTTTTTAAAAAAACACCCTGTATAAAAAACTGTAGTTAAAATTTGATTTTACTTTATTTTGTAGTCAATATTGATGTCTACAGGTGATTTCTGAACGGAAAGCAGAAATTGCAAAACTAAAGGAACAAGGACTTCAACTCTCAGATGAAACGGACGATTTAGGTAAATACAAGTAACTAATCAATTTTAGGGCGGGTTCTTTTTTCAAATAAAAAAGGACAAACCAGGATAAAAAATAGGTACAGAAATATTTAACCGTTATATGAAAACATTATAAAAAATATCTTAGTGAGTTTCTTACAGAGGCAGTTATTGCATGAGAGACCTTATGTGTTGTGTATATGGTTGTGCCTGAAGCCCAATCTACCAAGTCTCAACATTTCCACCACATAACCCAAAGCAGGAGATTGGCGGGATTTGAACCCAGAACCTCCTGGGCAGAAGTCTCACACTCCAACCTCTACATTAGCTGCACACAAAAGAACAAAGGTTTCCAGCCAGGCTAGGAACATCTGTACAAAACAGATCAGGAAACTGTTTAAAAACTATATATTTCTTTAAGAATTCAATCGCCAAAACTTTATTCCCGAATCCTATGTTTCTACTACAAAGCGGTTATGTTTCAGGTGGCAAGAAGCGACTCGCCTTTCTAGACTTGCTGATAGAAGCTTCACACGAGGGACATGTTTTGTCAGATGAGGACATCCGAGAGGAAGTGGATACATTCATGTTTGAGGTGAGGTTATTTTTAATTGCTCTTTGAATTTATTCGCATGACAAATAATTCACTGTGCAAATAATTTCACTGTGCCAAGCTGAGTTTTCCCAATTTTTTTATTATTGTTGTCACATAAATTTTTGTTTTAGGGCCACGATACAACATCAGCTGGAATCTCCTGGCTGCTCTTTCTCCTCGGCTGGCATCCAGAAATTCAGGTAAATTTATTATTCTGATAGTTTATTCTGTGTGTGATAAATTGTGAATATTACATTTTGTTGACATTAGTTTTTGTTTAATTCTCACATTGTTCGATACGGCACGTCAAATGGCAGGCGTATCCCCAGTGCGGCGAAGCCTGCAGCGTCGAACAAACCCGATTACCGCGTGTGATTGGCTTTCCAATTTCGATCTGACAAATAGCAAATAACGTGCGGGGATGTCCTGCTTCGCTGAACACCCACAGATAGCAGCACTGCTTGGAACTTAGCCGGACCCATTCAACCTACACCACAACAAAATGCAAATCACACACTACACACTAACGTGGTATAGGTAAGCTTTCAACCGCCGCTAGAGCAAAAACTAAGATATACAAAAGGCATTGCCGAGCGTTCCCGATCGGGTACGGACGCACCGTACCCGATCGGGAACGGCCGCACTCAACATTTCAAAGACTTTGGAAAATAGTTTTTAAGTATTCCATTGTTGCGCTAAAGCTACCAATCCATACAAGCTTAAAGAATAAAACAATGCCAAACAGAATGTAAAAAAAATAGAATATTTTAAATTGAGATGATTTTTTTTGTTGGTTCAATTATTATGGGATGAACACAAAACTGCAGAACCCATTAGGCTGAGACAGTACACATGTGGGGCGCACGGAAGAGACAAAATTCCCCCACAAGGTAGAAGAGGATAATTATCGGGCCCATAGCGCATCACATGCAAACCGGGGGCCTGATTATGCAAAGATCATGAACCTGGCCGACACCCTTATAGACTACTTTTGTGGAGATCCTAAGTATTGATCAGTTTTGGAATCAATAGAACTTAAGGAAAACCAAAATATTTTAATATCTTCTCGACTTACATTTACAGTACTGCAATAATCCTGGCTTGCTCAGTTTCAATTCTTAGACATAGCTGATAAATTTAACCAGAGAGAATTTTGTGAAACTAAGTAGACTACCCTATAGTTGTGTTTCTATAATTAATACCGTAGTGGATCATATTTGGGTTAAATTACAGCCTGGGTGGTGTCCCTATCTCAATTAATAGATAATTGTGCTGTTTCTTTATTATTGGGAAGCATGTGCAAAGCGAAGCGACAAGTAATAAAATCAACCCAGGAGACTAAAAAGCACAGCATTTATTTACTAATGTGATTCAGCAGCCTAACATTAACACACCATAGTTATCTAAAAAATATTTATTCATACGCTTGTTCCAGGAAAAGGTTGTCCAAGAGATAGAGACTATCTTACAAGGTGAAGATCGACCTTTGACTATGAAGGACTTGACTTCCATGAAGTACTTGGAGTGTTGTATCAAAGAAGCTCTCAGGCTCTACCCAAGCGTACCAATCATGGCTCGTAAGCTGAATGAGGACATAGTGGTTGGTAAGTTTTGTCGTAGACATAGTTAACTTAGCAATCATAAAGTCGCTGGTTTAATCCTGAGAAAAGATTTTTTTCAAATACTCCCAGTTGAGTCCTCATAGCTGGTACTATGATAATAATAAAACACCAACGTCAAGTGTTGAAATATTAAAATAGCGACTATTTAAAATTTAGTTAATTATCTTTGTCCCATTTTTCAGAACTTAGGGTTAGTAAAAAATCATATAACTGTTCTTGGATAAAGTTGTTAAGTGTTATGTAATGATGTAATATTTACTTTAAACAACAGACGCATTTGAATGGAACGAGGAGCCCAATAAATAACCAAACCCACAAGCGTTTTAAGACATGACTGTAAATTCCTGGTGAATAAAATCAATGAATAACAATTTGTTTAAATTCAAAATAAATTGAATTTTTTAAACTGGTGAAAACAACTTATAGTTGTTCTCTTTCTCGGGGGTTTACATGAAATATTTCAATTTTAAACTTTTCAATAATTTGTTTGGACAGGATAAACACATTATACATCAATTTAATATGGATTAAATGTCTAAGACGAAAAAGATTATGTACAACCGTTAACCCTTTCGATGCTACAATTTTTTGGTAATTTTCCAAAAAATGCTAGTTATTTACTTATTTTGTCCGAAAAGTGCTAGGCTTGCCACAAAACAAAAATTGCTTGGTATGAAAATTGTACCCGGTCCTAGGTGGATACACAGTTCCTGCCGGGACTGTCGCTATGATCATCACTTACATGCTTCATAGAGATCCTGACGCATTCCCCAAACCAGAAGTGTTCAACCCAGACAACTTCCTGGTGGAGAACTGTCGAGGACGACACCCTTACGCTTACATTCCCTTCAGTGCCGGACCTCGTAACTGCGTGGGTAAGTAGCTGTTTGTTGTTATCTAGTAGTCGTAAAATGGTAGCGGCGTTGACTTTAGCAGTTTTCTTGCGTAGTGTCAGAACATGTATTCATATAAAAGTGTGTTACATAAAGTATACTTTAAACTTTTACTCCTATAGGACTGCTGTTGATAAACACAGTGCAAAGATAACGGAAGGGTGAGGACTTGTAGACCTTTTTGTCCAGGATATTTTCTGTAACGAAAGGATTAATATGGGTTGCAGTCCAGGACAAAAATAATATATACGCTAAATACTTTGAAAGTAAAGTAGGGCTACTTGAGGTAAGTACTGTTAGTACTGCTTACTGCACTGCAATAATAACAACCAGACAATAACCCACCAAAATAAGTATCCAACAACTATACAGACAAATCAACTGAAAAAATTTGGAAGGGTACAAAAAACCAGATATACCACTGGCCTATTAAGTAAAAACCAGCCCCATTTTAAATTACCCAATTCCTCATACAAAAGACAGGCTAATTAAATATGGGAGAGACGTGTACACAATTTCCTGTAAACCACCATGTAACAATAAATACCTACATAAGCTACACTAGCAGAACATTGATAAAAACCGCACATCAATGGTAGCTAGACACCAAAAACTAAATCTAACTGACACAATAAATTTTCCCGATTTCCTCACGATTCTGAACAAAACCCACTCAAAACCATTACCAAAAAAGTACAAGAAAGCTACCAAATATACAAACATATAAATATAACTGGATCAAACACCCTCCTAAACAAAAAGAAGACTAAACCAGCTCTACAATTACTTATCAAATTAACAACATTAAACGAACAAGACTGGAAACACAGCGAAAAACCGGTAACACTACAGAAATCAAAGCACTCACCCAACCATAAACCAGCGAAGTCCAAACTACTCATAACCGTCAAACAGCCCAAACTCCAACAACCTTTGTTCAAGAAACTAAACGGAGGAAGAAATACATCCCGTGATTCCGCCGTGAGTCTATCGCCACGTTGTCAGATTAAACAGACTGTGATACTAGCAACCGCACATGTGTAAATATTTTTGTAAATATAGTCTATAGTGTTAGTCACAACCAATATTTTTGTAAATATAGTCTATAGTGTTAGTCACAACCAATATTTTTGTAAATATAGTCTATAGTGTTAGTCATAACAAAAATTAAATATAAATTATAAGATAAACTAAGGAGAAGATATCACACAACCTGGTGAAATGCACGGGGTGACACAAAACATCCTTACTACTCAAGAACACAGGCAACAAGATCAAAGATAGTTAATCTAATACTAGTGTACATGTTGCTCGAATTCGAGCAATTGCAAAGTATTACAGGTGTTATTTCAAAACTAATAACAGTCATATTTACAATGAGTTTAAAGGAGTCAACTCAAAGATTACCGGTGTGTAACTCAGACAATGTTTATCTTCGTTATTGATAAACCTAAAGCATTCCGGCCGGTTTTCTCCTTCTCAAAATGCCTCGCTGTACATGCAACACAGGTCATTGATAGAGGGCCAATTGAGAACAAAAAGTCGTTTTGGGATAGTGTTGTAGGTTTAGGCATTTGTAACCTAATAGTTGAGATTGTCCAGGGTCAGGTGCTGACTTTGATGAGTTAAGCCTATTACGCGCCACTGTTCTGTAGCTGCGGTCTTTATCACGATTACGCCTCCTGTCTATGTTTCGTTGTCGTCGCGTCGGAGGCATTAAAAAAAAAAACAACAAATAAACAAATTATAGTTACACAAAACAACAATAAATACACAAATTTAAGATACAATCATGCTATCACGATCCATCTTGGGGGTTATCTTGGGGGTTTGGGGGTTGGTCTTGGGGGTTATGTTTACACAAACTCAAATAGTAAATAAATGTACTCAATTGAATTGAAAAATAAATAACAGCAATTAAATTATACAGCTGATCAAAATGTAAACAATTATGTTCTTCATAAGGATGACATGGGAACTTTCAAAGCCACTGGGGCAGAGCCCAAGGGACTTTATCAAAAATGTAAGACCAGTTTGCAAATCTACGCGTCACGCTCTTTCCAATGATATGTCAATGGATAAAATCAGTTAAGAAATGGCGGAGGAGTTCAACCGACAAAGTTTCATGTAGCGTATTAATTATATAGATAATTCAAGTCCATGGCACTGGGATGAAACTAATAAAAACTGTAAATTGATGTTGTAGGTCAGAAGTTTGCGCTGCTAGAGGAGAAGATGGTTGTGTCGACATTTCTTCGCAAGTTCAGAATTGAGTCTGTCGACCGACGGGAGGATCTAACGTTGTTGGGGGAGCTGATTCTTCGACCTAAAGATGGGCTCAAGGTGAAGATATTTCCTCGACAGTGACGGTGATTGCTAATCATGTAAACTCTCTATACTAGATACAAAATATCTTGAGCTTTGTTCCACAACAATGCAAGAGTGAAGTCAGCAAAATTGGACTTAAAGACTCTCAGCTGGACAAATGAACATCAGCTGGTCCAATAATTAGTTGTTTTTATAATACTTTTCAGTCACTCAATTCAGACTTACTGTACTTATTTATTTTTCTGTTATCAAGGCTAATAAGCTAGCTGAAACCTATCCTTGTACATAATAATCCTTATTTATACAATTCTTTCTTAGCAAAAGATACTTTGTATCTGGTATACTTATTTATTTCTTTTTGTCTTCTCTATTATTAGTTCCTATTTACAATTTATGTGATTTTTATGTAAATATGTGTTGACTAGTGTGTTTTTGTTACTTTATAATAAAGTTGAATATTTGTTTACTTGTTTTCAATCAATTCCTATTACAACTATAGGGATTTTTAATTAGATTAGCCATTTTTTATCGTTGCTGAATGCTGTGACATTGCATTAAAACAATTCATTTTTCCTCAACTGATTTTGTTTAGTATGTACTACTGAGGGGTTTCTAAAGATAATAAAATTAGGTTACCTTTATATATTTGGTAGTTGCCTATTGTTATTGTTCTTGATGTTATAGTTAAGTAAACACTGATGCACGTTTCATCTCATCAATGCTCTTCAGAGTGTCTATAATATTTAAACTAAAAGTCACTATGTACTATGTTTGTTAAGCACTATTATTTATTAATGTTGTACGTGTGTTTTTTATTCACTTGAGCGGTTATTCCGCCGGCGGGTAAGTGTCAGGTGGACGGCCACGTTTCATCACTGTTCAACTGGAGCTGGGGAACGGGGTTTTCCCAAGTATTGCGGTGTTGCCAGGTAAATGTCAGGGTCGTGAGATCTTTTGGAGTTGATTTCTATTCTATTTATGGTTTTGAAAATTATGGAACCATTCAAATCTTCTTTTATGTTGAGGCTGTCAGGTCAAGATTCGTTTCCTTGTTTATTCCTTGTAGCTTTCCTGTGTTTTGGCTATTGTTTTTTAGTTTAGATTGTAAGGGATACAGGGTCCATATTATTCAGAGGAGTTTTGCTTGAGATATTTTGCTACAACTACCTACAACAATCCTACCTCAGTAGTAGCAAAACATCTCAAGCTAAACACCACTCGCTCAATAACATACTTCTAGTTCAAATCCCTTTAAAGTCTTAAAAAGACCAATCAAAAAACAAGAGTCACAGGAAAGCTACCAAATAAATAAACAAGACAACAAATCTAAACCCAACAGCCTACTTTACAAAAAAGAAGATTTTAATAATTCCATAGTTTCAATCCCATTAAAAAACATAGAAATCCACTCCAAACGATCTGACAACCCTGGCATAGGACTGACAACATTGCAATACTTGGGAAACCCCATCCCCAAGGCCCAATCCAACCACCGACAGCTCCATTCAAACAGAGATATGGAAGTGAACCGCGGCAGTACACCCGACACTCTCCCGCCACCGCACGCTGCGCTACTGAGATGACCACTCAGTGATTTACTAATGAGCAATTAGTGAATCGCAAACATTGTGCATAGTGACATTTAGTTTTAATATTATCCGCCACTCTGTGTCAATGTCCGAGATAAAATGTGCATCAGTGACTGCTGAACAACAACATCAAACGATAAGACAACTACCTAATATAAAAAGGTAACTCAATAATAGTAAGTTAAAGAAACTGGGTAACAAACACTATAACATTTCAACTAATGAAGTATAGGCCTACTGCTAAATCAAGAGGCATGACTCCTCTGTAAATCGAAATTGATTAAATATGACAAAAATAATTGTATATCAATAACATAAACCTGGACACATTAAGTTTATGAAACATTCTGTTACAATGTACAATAACCTTTAGAATACGTATAGAGAAAGCCTGATTTGAGCTTACATTGGAATTATAGTACGATGAAGCCGACACACCAAGGTACGTATTTTATGGCAAAGACGAGTGTTAAATGACGTGACAGTTTTGTTACTGACTAGGTCAAAGCCAGGGTAATTTATTAAAAGACAAACGATTTAGTACAGCTGGAACTAGTTGAAATATCACAGTGCATAACAATAGGGTAATAATAATTTGTAATGAATAAAAATACACAAATAAAATAATTATTTATACAATGTGCTACGGGAAAAGTATACAAATTATAGTAGAAGTTTACGCAACGATCGCATAAAGATAGTGTTAACGATACAAGTATAAATTTAATGTACGAGCCTTGACGAGTGCCGTTAAGACTATTTACACGAGTTGCGTACACTGCTTTACCTACAACAGAGATATAATTACTAACAATCACTACTCACAACTTCTAAGATAGGTTATTTTTTTGTTTATAACCTCCCATTGCCACTGACAGTGATGCACGAATCATTGTACCAAACACTAATTGCACCACTCATTAACAATTAAATTGGCCTGAACAGCTGATTGGTTGTAGTATCAAACATTACAATTTTACTTATTTTTTCTCAATCCTCATTGGTCCGTCACCCTAGTTGTTAAATAAAAAAAAACAGTGCTGTTAAGTCAGTAAACAATGCTGTCAAGTGAATCTTTTCAATTCTAAGAACTGAAATGGCTAGTTTAAAAAAACGCTCATAGGTAAAATTACTTTACCGTACCAAAAATCGATAGATAAAAACAATACTAACGATAGTTTCATAAAATTAAAAACCTGTAGCAAAAGACATATTTAGTAATCATCATCAATGGCAGAGTCTATCAAATTGCTGTCCTCCAGCTGGAAGGATTTGGAGAGGATGATATCGACAGAGAATGTCTTGAAGTACTTTGCTACTTGTATAGCTGCTACTTGGTAACTCTGACCTGCGACCAGCTTCCATGACGATCCTCCCCACAAACCTTCGTAAGAGCCTTCGCCTCCTACACTGACTGAGGAATTCTACAACACACAAGTGACATCAGAAGAAGATAATGATGAACCTTTAGTGAAAATAACTGAGATCCACTTGTTTCTGACATTCAAAATATTAAGGGGACAGAGAAGTAAGATACAGAGGAAACATGCTTACGGAACAACCGTGCTCTTTTAGCTCTGGAATGGTGGGGCGGAAATATACCAGTGCCAAGCAAGGCAGAGCCTGAACGGCTATAGTTTGCAAGAAGCAGTTGTAGCCCACAAGCTCTTCCTACGTGAGCGCTATAGTACGTGATGGTGAGGGGGGGATAGGAGAGCAGAAGGGAAGGACCAAAAGAATTTGCACTAGACACAAGCAACTGGAGCTACACTAGATACGACTTAAGTGTACCATTTAAAGTTTCCTCTGTTTCTTACTTCTTTGTGTGGGTTAGGCAAAAGTACATACACTCTGTTAACTTTTCTTCAAATACACAATTGATAGTTACAAATAATATAGTTAATTTTTTTTACATTTTACAAACGATCGTAACTCACCCCTCTATAATCAGAGACGGTAAAGAAGGTTGAGTTGAGTGTAGAGCGTATCAAGTCATACAACTGAGGATCTCTAACTCCCGAGTTTTTTATGTTTCGCTCGGCTGCTGGCAGAAGCACCACCATATACCCTCTGGAAGATAAAAGTGACAGTTTGAAAAATAGAAAGCTTTTGTAGATCAAGAGATTTGTTTTTACTTCGTATTGTAACCTAGTGAGACTTGTGGAACAATCAGTAACTATAGTTCGCGAGCGATATCTTTTCACTTGGGACTTGCACAACCTGGCAACACTACCCCATCCTATACCTGGCACATGTGACCGGTAGGACGATGACTCGGGCACTCATCTCGGCGGTGCGACGTTGCCGATACAAAATTCACACAGAACACCAAAAATCAAGTGAAAAGATATCGCGTGCGGACTACACAAGGGCGGTTTTTGTAAGGGCCGGTTTTTTTTGTATGAATCCATAGTTCACTTGACATACAATGAGGCTCATCACCATTTACTGGCATCATTTGTGAACCGAATGACACAAATTTAAGCTCTGCAACTGTCATGTACACTTCGCTGTGTTTTTAAAATTGTTTAATCAATCAAATCTCCTGCCGCGTCTGAGGTAAAGCCATTGATATGTTGTTGATTACAAAAAATATATCCGGTGCAGACTCGTAAGATAGCCAAAACCTCCTGCAAAGGGAGTACCTCACCACAGCCAAATCAGTCACAACTTGTTTTCTACTATGGATTCCTTAATGTACAATAAATAGATTTGGCCGAGAGACCTAATTCCTCTAACGTGGATGCATGATGACAAATTAACAGGTTCAGTACCGGCCGCCACACAGTTCTGTATGTAGAGTCTCCAGACACCCGGTAGTGAGTGTGTTAATGGCACAAATTGCATGTCTCCAATCCAAGTTTTGAGTAGTACCAGGTAGTACACATTTTGACTGCCAGCTCCTCAAAATACACTAGGTTTACTTGCATTTTCGCTGTGCAGCTGCATCAGTTGGTCATCTTGATGGATTAATTTCCACAAAAACTTAAACACGACACAAAATCATTAATCATAATTATGTGTGCACGTATGAGCGGGCTAGGAATGGCGGCGACACTACATCAGTCACCTGCCTTGCCTTGAACTTTGGACAATAATCTTTTGACTTGGTGTTATATTAGCTGAACCAGAGGTTGGGCAAGTGGGAGGGGTAACTGCCAGACTCTCACCTGACCAATGGTAGGTACAGTTGACTATTAGTCTCAGGCTGTGGTTGTTGTATCCACTCCACCTGGACCCCAGACACACTCACAGTGACAGGTACATTGTCCATGGGTAGAGGAGGTGGTTTTGTGTGGACTGTTACACTTGTAGAGGCCCCAAGTATGATGGTCTTGCCTGTCACACTCACAGCGTACGTGGAGGCAGGGTTGAGACCAACTATCTGCACAAACCAGTGAATTGTAAATTAATGTGGACAAGTAATGGAGTAACTTTGCATACTGAAGTAGACATAATCCATATATTAATTAAGTACACGGTTGAATTAGCTTCTTACAGAGTGTGCCATTGTCTAAAAGATGAACTCTCCATCGGTGACACTACAGAGTTTTACTCCGGGCGCATTTTTTTTACAGAAAATACGTAATATCGCCAGCCGGTAACTTTAGGAGTAACAGTACCTCCGTG